TAGGACACGGCCGGGCGCGGTGGCTCAAGCCTGTAATCCCAGCACTTTGGGAGGCCGAGACGGGCGGATCACGAGGTCAGGAGATCGAGACCATCCTGGCTAATACGGTGAAACCCCGTCTCTACTAAATACAAAAAACTAGCCGGGCGAGGTGGCGGGCGCCTGTAGTCCCAGCTACTCGGGAGGCTGAGGCAGGAGAATGGCGTAAACCCGGGAGGCGGAGCTTGCAGTGAGCTGAGATCCGGCCACTGCACTCCAGCCTGGGCAACAGAGCGAGACTCCGTCTCAAAAAAAAAAAAAAAAAAAAAGAAATTAGGACACTTGGCTGGGCACTGTGGCTCATGCCTGTAATCTCAACAATTAGACACTTTGGGAGGCTGTGGCAGGAGGATCCTTTGGGCATGGATTTGAGACCAAACTGTGCAACAGAGCAAGACCCCCATCTCTATAAAAAAAAAATTTTTTTTTGAGATGGAGTCTCACTCTGTCGCCCAGGTTGGAGTGCAATGGCACGATCTTGGCTCACTGCAACCTCCGCCTCCCGGGTTCAAGCAGTTCTGCCTCAGCCTCCCGAGTAGCTGGGATTACAGGTGTTTGCCACCACTCCCAGCTAATTTATTTTTAGTAGAGATAGGGTTTTGCCATCGTGGCCAGGCTGATCTCAAACTTCTGACCTCAGGTGTTCTACCTGCCTCGGCCTCCCAAAGTGCTGGGATTACAGGCGTGAGCCACCATGCCCGGCGCCCCCCAAATTTTTTTTTTTTCTTACTGAGTCTCTATCGTGAAGGTTGGAGTGCAGTGGCGTGATCTCGGCTCACTGCAACCTCCACCTCCCGGGTTCAAGCTATTCTCCTGCCTCAGCCTCCCGAGTATGTGGGACCTGGGTGACAGAGTGAGCCTCCATCTCAAGAAAAAAAACAAAAAAAAGAACTCTGTGGGGGCCAGGTGTGGCTCACACTTGTAATCCCAGCACTTGGGAGGCCAAGGTGGGCAGAACACCTGGGCTCAGGAGTTCGAAACCACCCTGGGCAACATGGTGAAACTTCATCTCTACTAAAATGCCAAATGCCAAAAACTTAGCCAGGCATGGAAGTGCGCATCTGTGATCCCAGCTACTTGGGAGGCTGAGGCAGGAGAATTGCTAGAGCCTGGGAGGCGGAGGTTTCAGTGAGCCAAGATCATGCCACTGCACTCCAGCCTAGGTGACAGAGTGAGACTCCATCTCAAGAACACAACATAGTGTTAGCCTCCCAAAGTGCTAGGCCTCCTGTCACATAGGGAGACCCCATCTCTATGAAATTAAAAACCTGCCGGGCACGGTGGCTCATGCCTGCAATCCCAGCACTTTGGGAGGCTGAGGTGGGCGGATCATGAGGTCAGGAGATGGAGACTAACCGGGCTAACACCATGAAACCCCCTCTCTGGCTGGGCGTGTTGGCTCACTCTTGTAATCCCAGCACTTTGGGAGGCCAAGGCAGGTGGATCACGAGGCCAGGAGATCGAGACCATCCTGGCTAACCCAGTGAAACCCCGTCTCTATTGAAAATACAAAAAAAAATTAGCCAGGCGCAGTGGCGGGCGCCTGTAGTCCCAGCTACTAGGGAGGCTGAGGCAGGGGAATGGCGTGAACCCGGGAGGCGGAGCTTGCAGTGAGCCGAGATCCGGCCACTGCACTCCAGCCTGGGCGACAGAGCGAGACTCCATCTCAAAAAAAAAAAGAAACCCTGTCTCTACTAACAAAATACAAAAAAGTTAGCTGCGCATGGTGGCAGGCGCCTGTAGTCCCAGCTACTTGGGAGGCTGAGGCAGGAGAATGGCTGAACCCAGGAGGCGGAACTTGCAGTGAGCAGAGATTGCGCCACTGCACTCCAGCGTGGGCTACAGAGTGAGAATCTGTCTCAAAAAAAAAAAAAAAGAAAAAAACTTAGCTGAGCATGGTGAGCATAGTGATACATGCCTGCAGTGCTAGCTACTTCAAGGCTGAGGAAGGAGGGTCACTTGAACTCAGGAGTTCGAGGGTGCAGTAAGTCAAGACTGCAACACTGCACTCCATCCTGGGCAACGAAGCAAGACTCTGTCTCAAAAGAGAGCAGGGCAGGCACAGAGGGCCACACCTGTAATCCCAAGCACTTTGGGAGGCTGAGATGGGAGGATCGTTTGAGTCCAGGAATTTGAGAGACCAGTCTGGGCAACAGGGCGATCCCGTCTCTGCCAATTATTTATTTATTTATTTTTTGAGGCTGAGTCTCGCACGGTCACCCAGGCTGGAGTGCAGCGGGGCTATCTCGGCTCACTGCAAGCTCCGCCTCCCGGGTTCACGCCATTCTCCTGCCTCAGCCTCCAGAGTAGCTGGGACTACAGGCGCCCACCACCGCGCCTGGCTAATTTTTTTGTATTTTTAGTAGAGACCGTGTTAGCCAGGATGGTCTCTACCTCCTGACCTCGTGATCCGCCCACTTCAGCCTCCGAAAGTGCTGGCATTACAGGTGTGAGCCACCACACTCGGCCATTTTTTTTTTTAAATTGGCTGCGCCTGGTGGCATACCTGTAGTTCCACTTACTCACAGGGCTGAGGTGGGAAGATCGTGTGTGCCCAGGCATTCCAGGCTTCAATGAGCCAAGATCACATGACAACACTTTGGCCTGGGTGACAGCGATCCTGTCTCAGAAAACAAAAACAGACTGGGTGCAGTGGCTTACACTTATAAACCCAGCACATCGGGAGGCTGAGGCAAGTGGGTCACTTGAGGTCAGGAGTTTCAGACCAGCCTGGCAAACATGGTGAAACCCTGTCACTACTAAAAATACAAAAATTAGCCGGGCATGGTGTTCGGGAGCTGTTCGGGAGGCTGAGGTGGGAGAATCGCTTGAACGTGGGAGGTGGGGATTGCAGTGACCTAAGACTGTGCCACTGCACTCCAGCCTGGGTGACAGAATGAGACTCTGTCTCAAACAAAACAAAACAAAAACAGCACCAAAGAAAGAACATCTGAAAAGCTTCCATCTCAACCTGCCTCAAATCACTGGTGGGCTTATCTGGGCCTTCTAGGTCCTTCTGGAGAGAATGCAGCTTGTTCCAAACATTAATGCGCAGATACGCTTTTTTTTTTTTTGAGACATGGTCTTGCTCTGTCGCCCATGCTGGAGCCTACCTAAACCTCCAGAAAAGCTGGGACTGCAGCCATACTCCACCCTGCCCGTCAAGATTTTTGTTTGGTTTGTTACCTTTATTTTTTCTTATCTTCCCCCATGCGGCCCAGCCAATTTTTTTTTTTTTTTTTTGAGACAGAGTTTCGCTCTTGTTACCCTATGTTGTCCAGGCTGGTCAAGATCCTCCTGACTTGGCCTTCCAAAGCACTAGGATTACACGTATGAGCCCCTGTGCCCAGTCATATCATGTACTTTACATATTAGAATAAATCGGACAAGTATGGTGGCTCACACCTTGAGGAGCCGCAGCGGGCAGATCACTTGAACCCAGGACTACAAGACCAGCCTGGGCAACATGGTGAAACCTCGTCTCTACAAAAAATACAAAAATTAGTTTGGCATCATGGCATATGCCTGGAATCTGAGCTACTCAGGAGACTAAGGTGGGAGAACCACTTGAACCCAGGGGGCCGAGGTTGCAGTGAGCTGAGATCCCACCACTGCACTCCAGCTTGGGTGACAGAGTGAGATTCTTTCTCAAAAAAATCTTAAAAACATAAAAATAGGCCATGTGCGGTGGCTCACACCTTTAATCCCAGCACTTTGGGAGGCCGAAGCAGGCGGATCACGAGGTCAGAAGATTGAGACCATCATGGCTAACATGGTGAAACCCTGTCTCTACTAAAAATACAAAAAATGAGCCAGGCATGGTGGCATGCACCTGTAGTCCCAGCTACTAGGGAGGCTGAGGTAGGAGAATCACTTGAACCTGGGAGGCGGAGGTTGCAGTGAGCTAAGATTGCACCAATGCACCGCAACCTGGGTGACAGACCGAGACTCTGTCTCAAGAAAGAAAATTTTAAAAAAATTTTAAATTAAACATATAACTAAAAAAATGTCAGTGCAGTGGCTCACGCCTATAATCCCAGCACTTTGGGAGGCTGAGGTGGGTAGATCACCTGAGGTCAGGAGGTAGAGAACAGCCTGACCAACATATAGTGAAACCTTGTCTCTACTAAAAAACACAAAATTTAGGTGGGACGCAGTGGCTCACACCTATAATCCCAGCACTTTGGGAGGCTGAGGCGGGCAGATTGTCTGAGGTCAGCAGTTTAAGACCAGTCTGGCCAACGTGGTGAAACACTGTCTCTACTAAAAATGCAAGAAAACTGGCTGGGCGCGGTGGCTCATACCTGTAATCCTAGCACTTTGGGAGGCCGAGACGGGCGGATTGCAAGGTCAAGAGATCAAGACCATCCTGGCCAATATGGTGAAACCCCGTCTCTACTAAAAATACAAAAATTAGCTGAGCATGGTGGCGCGTGCCTGTGGTCACAGCTACGTGGGAGGCTGAGGGAGGAGAATCGATTGAACCTGGGACACAGAGGTTGCAGTGAGCCAAGATTGCATCACTGCACTCCAGCCTGGTGAGAAAGCGAGACTTTGTCTCAAAAAAAAAAAAGAAAGAAAAGAAAATTAGCCGGGTGTGGTGGCACGTGCCTGTAATCGCAGCTACTCGGGAGGCTGAGGCAGAGGAATTGCTTGAACCAGGGAGGTGGAGGTTGCAGTGAGCCGAGATCGTGCCATAGTACTCCAGCCTGGGCAACAGGAGACTCTGTCTCAAGAAAAAAGAAATTAGTTGGGCATGGCACATGCCTATAGTCCCGGCTACTTGGGAAACTGAGGCAGGAGAACCACTTGAACCTGGAAGGCAGAGGTTGCAGTGAGCTGAGATTGCCCCATTCTACTCCAGCCTGGGTGACAGAGTGAGACTCCTGTCTCTCAAAAAAAGTAAATAAAATAAAATAAATAAAATTTAAAAATACAAAAAAATCAAACCATATAAAATCAATCAACCAACACCCATTCTGTTTAAGGTTCCAAAAGGCAATAGCTGGACCCAGCTGCAGAGCACACTCCCACCTCACCTCTGTCTCAAAAGTACATCCCCTACGTGCGGTTCTCCTTAAAAAACTTTAATGTCTGGGTTGGGGAGGCAGATAGAGCGAGTAGAGGCAGCTGCTAGAGGCTGGTTGCTGACTCCAGGCCACGTTCCAGGAAATAACGGTGGGAAGTACGGGGACGGGCTTGGGACCCTTCATTGAGGAAGTAGGATGTGATCTTCCTGAGTCCCTCCTGATCCTCGGGTGTTGAGTCCTCCCTGTGGGAGAGAGGTGATAAAAGTGACCACTTCCATGGGGAGCAGCCCTCTCAGGCAGGGCTGAACCCTGGCCTCCCTCCTTCCTTCCCTATAGCACCCCAGGACATCCATGACACCCACCATATTACGTCTTCCGCCTCTTTCTCCAGGATGGTCTGAGCTGTGCGCCAGCTGAACCGGACAAACTGGGGGAAGCCGAACACAGGCTCCACGTGCTCCTTCAACCACGCTTTTGTCTTGGGATCTGGGGTAGGGTGGGCAATGGTGACAGTCCATAACATTCAAGCTCCTTGTCACTCTTTTTTTTTTTCTTTGAGATGGAGTCTCATTCTGTCCCCAAGCTGGAGTGCAGTGGCGCCATCTCAGCTCACTGCAACTTCCGCCTCCCGGGTTCAAGCAATTCTCCCGCCTCAGCCTCCCAAGTAGCTGGGATTACAGGCACACGCCACCGTGCCCAGCAAAATTTTGTATTTTTAGTAGTGATGAGGTTTCACCATGTTGGCCAGGATGGTCTCAATCGCTTGACCTCGTGATCTAACCACCTCGGCCTCCCAAAGTGCTAGGATTACAGGCGTGAGTCACCGCGCCTGGCCTCCTTGCCACTCTTCTAAGGCTTCCTCCGGAGTACCTGGGGCACCTCCTATTGTCTGAGGCACCTTCTTGCCACAGGACCTTTACCTGGCCAAGAACTGCTCAAAGGGCAGTGCAGGGAGAGTGCCTCTGAGACATCTCCTTGACCTCCAAGAACAAGTGATTAAACATTTTTATTTTATTTATTTATTTTTTTTTTTGAGACGGAGTCTCGCTCTGTCGCCCAGGCTGGAGTGCAGTGGCCGGATCTCGGCTCACTGCAAGCTCCGCCTCCCGGGTTCACGCCATTCTCCTGCCTCAGCCTCCCGAGTAGCTGGGACTACAGGCGCCCGCCACCTCGCCCAGCTAGTTTTTTGTATTTTTTAGTAGAGACGGGGTTTCACCGTGTTAGCCAGGATGGTCTCAATCTCCTGACCTCGTGATCCGCCCGCCTCGGCCTCCCAAAGTGCTGGGATTACAGGCTTGAGCCACCGCGCCCGGCCTATTTTATTTATTTATTTATTGTTTAAGATGGAGTCTTGCTCTGTCGCCCAGGCTGGAGTGCAGTGGTGTGATCTCAACTCACTGCAACCTCTGCCTTCCAGGTTCAAGTGATTCTCCTGCCTCAGCCTCCCAAGTAGCTGGGACTACAGCCACCCACCACCATATCTGGCTAATTTTTGTATTTTTAGTAGAGATGGGGTTTCACAGTATTGGACAGTCAGGCTGGTCTCAAACTCCTGACCTCAGGTGATCCACCCACTTCAGCCTCCCAAAGTGTTGGGATTACAGGTGTGAGCCACCATGCCCAGTCTTTTTATTTTTTTTGAGATAGGGTCTCACTCTATTACCTAGGCTGGAGTGTAGTGGCATGATCACAGCTCAATGCAACCTCTGCCTCCCAGGCTCAAGCCATCCGCCCACCTCAGCCTCCCAAGTAGCTGGGACTACAGGTGTGCACCACCACACCTGGCTAATTTTTGTATCTTTTGTAGAGATGGGGTTTTGCCATATTGCCCAGGCTGGTCTTGAATTCCTGAGTTCACATGATCTACCTGCCTTTGTCTCTTAAAATGCTAGGATTACAGGCATAAGCCACCTCGCCCAGCCTGTCATTAAACATTATTATTGTTATTATTTTGAGACGGAGTTTCGCTCATTTCCCAGGCTGAAGTGCAATTGTGTGATCTCAGCTCACTGCAACCTCCACCTCCCAGGTTCAAGCAATTCTCCTGCCTCAGCCTCCTGAGTCGCTGGGATTACGGGCGTGTGCCACCATGTCCAGCTAATTTTGTATTTTTAGTAGAGATGGGGTTTCACCATGTTGGTCAGGCTGGTCTCGAACTCCTGAACTCAAGGGATCCACCCACCTCAGCCTCCCAAAGTGCTGGGATTACAGGTGTGAGCCACCACGCCCGGCTAACATTATTTTTTTTTTGACATAAGCTCTCACCTTGTCACCTAGGCTAGAGTGCAGTGGCATAATCATAGCTCACTGCAGCCTCAAACTCCTGGGCTCAAGCAACCCACCCACCTTAGCCTGCGTAGCTGGGACTGCAGGTGGGCACCACTATAACCGGCTAATTTTTTAAATTTTTTATAGAGATGGGGATCTCGCTATGTTGCCCAGGTTGGTCTTGAACTCAAGGACTCAAGCGGTTCTCCTACCTCAGTTTCCCAAAGTGCTGGGATTACAGGCATGAGCCACCATGCCTGGTCCCCTTCCCCTTAACAAAGGGGCAGATGCCCACCGTAGGTCTCAGTTCATCACTGGGGCTCCAGAGAGACGGTAAAGTGGGAAGCGGGGAAGACAGCAGCAATCCTATGGCCTGGAACCCAGCTCCGTCACTCACTGGCTGTGTGGCCATGAACAAATGGCACCACTATCTAACACTTGGCCTCTTTCACTGTGGAGTAGGGTGACCAGAACAATTTAGAAAACCTCCAGCCAGGCACAGTAGTTCACACCTGTAATCCTAGCTGTTTGGAAGTCCAAGGCAGGAGGATCACTTAAGCCCAGGAGTTCAAGACCAGGCTGGGCAACATAGGGAGATCCCATCTCTTTAAAAAAATAAGGAAAAAAGGGCCAGGGGTGGTGGCTTATGGCTGTAATCCCAGCACTTTGACAGACCAAGGTGGGAGGACTGCCTGACTCCAGGAGTGTGATACCAGCCTGGGCAACATGACAAGACCCCATTTTTATAAAACAAAAATAGGCCGGGCGCGGTGGCTCACGCCTGTAATCCCAGCACTTTGGAAGGCTGAGTCGGGCAGATCACCTGAGGTCGGGAGTTCAAGACCAACCTGACCAACCTGGAGAAACCTTGTCTCTACTAAAAATAGAAAATTAGCCGGGCGTGGTGGCGCGTGCCTGTAATCCCAGCTACTCGCGAGGCTGACGCAGGAGAATCACTTGAAGCCAGGAGGTGAAGGTTGCGGTGAGCCGAGATCGCACCATTGCACTTCAGCCTGGGCAGCAAGAGCAAAACTCTGTCTCAAAAAATAAATAAAAATAAAAAATAGAAACAAAAAATAAGCAAAATAAAATGATAAACGACAGAAAGGAAGAAAAGAAAACCTCAGAAGTGTGCTCAGCTCTGGCCATTTCAACATTAGTACCATGGTCACTGTCTGCTCACCATTGGGGTAGCCTGAGCCATAATCAGTATCCGAGTCCTGTAGTTTCTCCACGAACTTCCATTTCTTCACAGCCTGGTCCCGGGCCACCTGTGGGCAAGACAGCCACCTGGAATCTCCCTCCTCCCCCGTGGTGGCTATGCCTGGCCCTTATATAGTGGGATGCTGGAAGCCAGCCATGGCTAGTAGGGTACTGACCTTGGCACAGATGCTGGCAGCACTAACCACTGGGTAGAGGGCATCTGCTTTGGCCTTGACCGTCACCTCAATCCCGGGAAAACTTTGCTGCAGCCGCGCCTGGTATGTCTCTGGCATCCCTACAGTGTCCACAAACACCTGCCACGGCAACAGACACATATTAATTGAACAAACAATGTACCAATGCTCTAGCCTCACAGCCCTGGCACGTTCTTCCTGCTACCCAGAATCCTCTTCTCACAGCCCGTCCCCAGGCTGGATCAATCAGGGATTTCAACTCAAACATCTTCTCCCAGGCCAGGCCACGTTGTTCACGCCTGTGATCCCAGCACTTTGGGAGGTTGAGGCGGGAGGATCGCTTGAGCCTGGGAGTTTGAGACCAGGCTTGGCAACACAGTGAGACCCCATCTTTACAAAAACATAAAATAAATACAATAAAATAAAACAAAGAAAAAAAAATCACCTCCTGAAGAGGCTTCCTCTGATCATGCTGCATCTGCTCTACACTTATTTAGCACCTACTGCATGCCAGATACTGTTCTAGGAACTGAGGTGGCAGAAAACAATAGAAAAAAAAGTGGGCCGGGCGCGGTGGCTCAAGCCTGTAATCCCAGCACTTTGGGAGGCCGAGACGGGCGGATCACGAGGTCAGGAGATCGAGACCATCCTGGCTAACCCGGTGAAACCCCGTCTCTACTAAAAAAATACAAAAAACTAGCCGGGCGAGGTGGCGGGCGCCTGTAGTCCCAGCTACTCGGGAGGCTGAGGCAGGAGAATGGTGTGAACCCGGGAGGCGGAGCTTGCAGTGAGCAGAGATCCGGCCACTGCACTCCAGCCTGGGCGACAGAGCGAGACTCCGTCTCAAAAAAAAAAAAAAAAAAAGAAAAAAAAGTGGTAGAGTGCGTTGGCACACGCCTGTAATCCCAACACTTTAGGAAGCCAAAGCGGGAGGATCACTTGAGGGCAGATGTTCGAGACCAACCTGGACAACATATGGAGACCATGTTTCTACAAAAAATAAAAAATTAGCTAGGTGTAGTGGTGAATAAAGGCTTGAAGGAGATGAGGAACTAAACCGTGCAGAGATCTGGGGAAGAGGGCTCTAGGTGTGAGAACAGCCAGTACAAAGGCCCTGAGCTGGGACCAGGTCCATGATGCTGGGCCCTTGCACGGGGGTCTATGGCTACAGCACCGAAGAGAGGGGTCAACAGCTGCTGGGAGAAAGTGGTATCTCCACAGCAGTACTGTTTTCAGAAACCACCTTTATTTTTTGTTTACCAGCTAAACATTTTTCTGCCCAGGCTAGGCCCTGAACCCCCACGGGCAGGTCCCTTGTCTGTCTATGCCAGTTACTGCATCGCCAGCTCTGCATTTGGACCTGATCCTCAGGTCCCTCCTCAGCAAGGCCTACCTTCCTATAATTCCTTTCTTTCTTCTTCTTCTTGTAGAGATGGGGTCTTGCTATGTTGCCCAGGCTAGTCTGGAACTCCTGGCCTCAACCAATTTGCTCACCTCAGCTTCTCAAAGTGCTGGGATTACAGGTATGGGCCACCACACCCAGCATGCAATTCCTACGTCGAGGTTATTTTGCCTTGTTATGCTCTCAAAATGGTCCGTTCTTTCACTGAGAGCATTCGAGGCAATGCTGATTTATGTTTTTCTCTGGTAATTTAATGTAATTCTCCCCGACTTGACTGTAAATTTTTCTGATTTAATTTCCACTGTGATCGGAAAACTAAATGTTGAGATGTGCATTTCTTTTTTTTTTTTTTTTGAGACGGAGTCTCGCTCTGTTGCCCAGGCTAGAGTGCAGTGGCGCGATCTCGGCTCACTGCAAACTCCACCTCCCAGGTTCACGCCATTCTCCTGCCTCAGCCTCCTGAATAGCTGGGACTACAGGCGCCTGCCACCACGCCCAGCTAATTTTTTGTATTTTTAGTAGAGACGGGGTTTCACAGTGTTAGCCAGGATGGTCTCCATCTCCTGACCTCGTGATCCGCCCATCTGGGCCTCCCAAAGTGCTGAGCTTACAGGTGTGAGCCACAGGAGATGTGCATTTCAAAAAGACTACCTTCTGTTGCTGCATGGGGAACAGATTGGAGGGGACAGGAGGGTGGGGGATGAGAGACGATGCTCAGCAGGTGTCCAGGGTGTGGGGGGTTGTCCTGGGCTAGGACAGAGGTAGCAGGGAGACACATATGGGATTTGTTCTGCAGACTGAGCCTTTAGGATGAGGGAGAGATTAGATGGAGATGGGACTAGCGGCTACACTGTGGTCCTCAGTGTGGCACACATTTAGGGCAGAAACAGGAGCACGAAATCAACAGTAGCAATGAATATGCCTGAGGCACTCCAGACGTATCTGATGCTAAATCTGCCCACTGCACGTTTTTGCCCACATTTACTTCTTTTATCTTTATTTTTTGCCGTGTCCCCCAGGCTGGAGTGCAATGGCACGATCTCAGCTCACTACAACCTCCGCCTCCCGGGTTCAAGCGATTTTGGTAGAGACAGGGTTTCATCATGTTGGCCAGGATGGTCTTCAACTCCTGACCTTAGGTGATTTGCCCGCCTCAGCCTCCCAAAGCACTGGGATTACAGCCTTGAGCCACCGTGCCTGGCCTCCCATTTTTAGTTTATTTTTATTTATTATTATTTTTTGAGACAGAGTCTCACTCTGTTGCCCAGGTTGGAGTGCAATGGCACAATCTTGGCTCACTGCAACTTCTGCCTCCTGGGTTCAAGCGATTCTCCTGCTTCAGCCTCCTGAGTAGCTAGGATTACAGGCGCCCGCCACCACGTCCAGCTAATTTTTGTATTTTTAGTAGAGACGGGGTTTCACCATGTTGGTCAGGCTGGTCTCGAACTCTTGACCTCTGGTGATCTACCCGCCGCGGCCTCCCAAAGTGCTGCGATTATAGGCGTGAGCCACTGGGCCCAGCCTCCATTTTCATTTTTGGTTGGGGGGGGTCTTTCTTTGTCACCCAAGATGGAGTGCTGTGGCATGATCATGGCTCACTGCAGTCTAGAACTCCTGTTTTGTCGCCAGTTTATCCTGCGATGACTAAATGGGGACAACTCAACACTTACCTGGGTGACATTCACGCCCTGGTCCAATGCATACTGTATAAGCCCAGTGGCTGTATCATGTGACAGGGAGTTCAGGTTGTATTTGACTCTGTCGTGGGGAACAGAGCCCAGTTAACCTCATTCTAGGAAGAAAGCCCAGTCAGCCCATGCTGGCTGCCCCTCTCCCACAGCCCCTCCCGGGTACCCCTCACCGCCCAAGCATGCTGGTAGAGATGAGGTTTGGAGATAGCACGTCCAGCGCCCAGCCGACAAAGTCCCTGTTCTCCTCCATTTTCGCAAAGAGCCTTTCCCGCTCGCTCTCCAATAGGGTCTTCGAGTCTGGGAGGAGGTTTGGAAGAGAAGGGGAACAGCTGCTTCTCCCAGTTCCTGTCCTCCCCTTTCAGTTCTCACCTGCCCCTGCACATACCCAGGAATCCCTTCCCCAGACGCACACCTCGGGCTCACCTGCCACTTTCAGGGCCTCCAGATCTGCCAGGTGGGACAGGGGACAATAACAGATGGCGTAGACCATGGGGCCTGGGGAGAAGGGGTGTCAGTTTTCTGGCAGCCGGGGTCCAATCACTGAGCCCGTGAAAGTTGCCATCCATCCCTGTTCTACCATCACTGCTTCTTTGGGTGCCATCACCACGACCACATCCCCTCCCCTAGTGCGGTGCAATCCCGACTCCCGTTTCCCGCATCCCCCGTACCACGCCCCTCCCCTCCCTGGCCCTAGGTGCGCACCCAGGACGGGGCCCCTGCCCGCCTCATCGACGCCCAGGGCGCAAGGCTCCTTGCGGCACGCCGCGGGCACAGGCGAACTCAGGCGACAGCGGCCCGTGTTGTCTCTCTCCAGCTCGCTGAGATCCATGCCGCCTCGGCCGCCGCCACCAGCTGCAAGAACTAACACCGCGGGAGCGGGTCTCGGCGCGCGTTTTCCGCGGGCCTTGCAGCGGCGCCTGTTTCCGGCCAATCCGCGGGCAGAACACGCCCCTGTCGCTCCCACGGCCGTGGACGCTTACGCAGCCGACGCCGACGCCGCTGCCGTGCGCCCTTCTGGGAATTGTAGTCCCGAAGGACTGTGGCCGAATACTCAGCGTGGGGAATTCGGTGGACCGGGTCACTTTGCAAGCTCTGCTTCACGGTCTCTGGGGCCCCGCCTGCGTTGGCCGGTAGGAAAAAGGGGAAATAAAAGGGAAACTGAGACGCAGCTTCGAAGACCCAGCCTAATGGGGAACTAGAGGGTCAAATACCACCCCACTCCCAGGACCCGGTCCCCGCATCACTGCGTCCCCGACTTCCACCTGGATTCAGGTCCTGTACTCGCAGTCCCTTCTTCTGTACACATTCTAAGTCCCCTAAACCAGGTAGCCGCGCTTCCACTAAACTCAGGCTTTTGGATTTGGAGTCCCCAAACTCCCTCTCTTGGTTGCTGCCTTCAGCCCACCCCCACTCCCTGCAAGATCTGTGCTTCCTACCCTCTCTCTCATTCAGGCAAAGCCTTCCCCACCCCCATTGGAGATCACAGACCTCAGTGGACTCCTGCTCAAGGTCTCTGCCCACTATATAGAAGCTCATTCCTCCTAACTTAGAATGAATGTCCCCACCCCCCCCCCGACACCCCCCCTTTTTTTTTTAGACAGGGTCTCTCTCTGTTGCCCAGGCTGGAGTGCAGTGGTGCGATATTGGCTCACTGCAACCTCCACTCCTGGGTTGACACGACCCTCCCACCTCCGTCTCCCAAGCAGCTGGACTACAGGTGCACACCACACCACCATGCCCAACTATTTTTGGTATTTTTTGTAGAGACGGGGTCTCACTATGTTGCCCAGACTGGCTTCAAACTCCTGGGCTCAAGTGATCCGGCCGCCTCCGCCTCCCAAAGTGTTGGGATTACAAGCCTGAGCCACAGTGCCTGGCCTCCACACTTCTTCTATTCCCTGGACTCACTGGGGCTCATGTCCTCTGCCTGTGGGTTCCTGCCCCTTACCAGGCTCATGCCCCTTCCTCAGGGTCCTAGTTCATTGTCTTTTTTTTTTTTTTTTGGACGGAGTCTCGCTCTGTCGCCCAGGCTGGAGTGCAGTGGCCGGGTCTCGGCTCACTGCAAGTTCTGCCTCCCAGAATTATGCCATTCTCCTGCCTCAGCCTCACGAGTAGCTGGGACTACAGGCGCCCGCCACCACGCCCAGCTAGTTTTTTTTTTTTGTATTTTTTTAGTAGAGACGGGGTTTCACCTTGTTAGCCGGGATGGTCTCGATCTCCTGACCTCGTGATCCGCCCGTCTCGGCCTTCCAAAGTGCTGGGATTACAGGCTTGAGCCACCGCGCCCGGCCAGTTCATTGTCTTTTTATCTCCTTTTATTCCTCTGTGCCTCACTCTCCATTTTTTTTTTTTTTTTTTAAAGACAGGGTGTTACTCTGTTGCCCAGGCTGGATAGCAGTGTAGCAATCTCGGCTCACTGTAACCTTTGCCTCCCAGGCTCAAGCGATCCTCCCTCCCCATCCTACCGAGTAGCTGGGACCACAGGCATGTGCCGCCACGCTCGTCTAATTTTAAAAATTTTTATGGAGAGATGATCCAACTATATTGCCCAGACTGGTCTTGAACTCCTGGACTCAAGAGATGCGCCTGTCTCGGCCTCCCAAAATGCTGGAATTACAGGCGTGAGTCCTAGCGCCCGGCGCCCCCTCCATTTTTCTGCCTTTCTCCCTAGATATCAGGGGGGCTCTCGGCTCCTGACTCAGCTTCCGCCTAACCATATCAGCCTCAAGTCACTCAAGACTTGGAGCCCCAGTTCTCCCTTCCCCAAACTCACTTCATACCCGCCGCGCACCGCACGTCCTCCCTCCGCGCCCACCCTGGGCCCCGCGGCTTGCCCCCGCCCGGCGTCCTCTGGGCCCCTCTCTCACTCGGGCTCAGAGCCTCCAGTCGCAGTCGAAGGGCTTGCAAGATGGACAATCCCGTTGCCGGCAGGGTCCTAACTGGATCAGGTTCTCCGGGTCCATGAAAACTGGGCCTGGCGCTGTGCCGACTACCTCGCGGCTGCGCTCCTGCTTGCCCAGGTCGCAGAGACACCGCCACTTTCCCCACGGGCCAAGGATTGAGTCCTCGACTTCTAGAGAAGGAGGGCAGAGGTGAAGACCTACGTGGAGGCGGCCTACTCCCAATCCCCTCCCCCAGAGAGGAAGAAAGATAAAGATACTAACAAATAAGAGAAGCGCATATTCGCTAGACTCTGCCTCTATGCTAGACACTCCCCGGTAGACTATCTCATTTAATTTTTTTTTTTTTTTTTTTTTTTTTGAGACAGGGTGTCGCTCTGTCGCCCAGGCTGGAGTGCAGTGGCACAGTCACAGCTCACTGCAGCCTCAACTTCCTGGGCTCAAGCAATCCTCCTACCTTAGCCTCCCAAGTAACTAGGACTACAGGCACATGCCACCATGCCTGGCTAATTTTTTGCAGAGATGGTGTTTCACCATGTTGCCCAGGCTGGTCTGGAACTCCTGGGCTCAAGTGATACTCCCATCTCAGCTTCCCAAAGTGCTGGGATTACAGGTGTGAGCCAGCCACCATGTCTGGCCTCATTTAATCTTTCCATGAGTCTCAGGTGGGGAAACCAAGAGACAGCAAGCCAACCTTCCAAGCTCATACACAGGGTAAGTGGCTCAGAGGAACTACAACCTGACACTTTCAGGCTGTGCCAGCCTGCACAGTTGTGAGTGTCCTATAACATCCTCGGTGCCTGCCATCTGAAGCTGACTTCTGTCTTCAGGGGTGTGACCATGGCCCTGAAGCAGGCACAATGCCAACTGACCAGCAGGGCTATCAAGTGATAAATGGCATAATTGACAGAATGAAGGTAAGTAAATCTCCTGGTGCTGCACTAGCATATACAAACCAAATTTTTATGATCAGGTTTATTTTTTATTTTTTATTTTTATTTTTATTTTTTGAGACAGGATCTTGCTCTGTTACCCAGGTTGGAATGTAAGGGCGTAATCATGGCTCACTGCAGCCTCAAATTCCTTGGCACAAATGGTCCTCCTGTATCAGCCTCTTGAGTAGCTGGGACAGGCTCATGCCACCATGGCAGGCTAATTTATTTTTTGTTTTTATTTATGTATTTATTTTTGTAGAGAAGGGGGTCTCTTCATGTTGCCCAGGCTGGTCTTGAACTCCTGGGCTCAAGCAGTCCTTCCGCCTCGGCCTCCCAAAGTGCTAGGCCATCACCTAAGGCTAATTTTAAAATCTTTTTTGTAGAGACAGAGTCTTTCTATGTGGGCCAGGCTAGACTGGTCTCAGAGACCAAGGGATCCTCCCACTTCAGCCTCCCAAAGTGCTCGGGTTACAGGCGTGAGCTACCGCACTGGCCACTATGATCACTTCAAAGGGCTCTATACTGAATCCGCCCCTTTGACACCTGCTACCCTCCCACACCCACTCTGCCACACCTCACCGACCTCTTCCCACTTCTCCTTCAGGCCTTTTCACCTTGGCACTTGCTATTCCCTCTTTCTTGGACATTCTTTCCCCAAATCTTTCCATTTGGGGTTTTCGCTTGTCGTTCTCGCTGCACTGGTCACGGGTCTTCTGCAACCGGACCCTCTCTGACTTCCCAAGCTTGCCCGCCCTCTTCTTTCTCTGCTTCTGCCCTTCCTGGCACCTATCCCCGAGTGACAGCTTCAATGTCCTACTCACACCCCCTCTTCCCTTGGGAGCTGCTTTAAAGCAGTATCTATTTCAACGTATCCAAGAGTAAACCGAGCCTCAGAGAACAGTAACCAGCCCAGGGGGACGCCTCTAGTGCAGAGCTGGGTGGAGATTTGCAGCCCGCGGAGGAAGGTCCCTTTGCAGCCAGCAGGAGAAGTAGGGCAACGGGGAGCCTATGGACATCGTCACCCCCGCCGCCTGAGGTTACCCTTTAGGTGCTGCAGCCTCAGCTGCTCCCAGGTGTCACCTTCGCCCTGCTGGCCGAAGTACTGATAGTCCTGGTAGACCTGGGCAGGGGTCGCCAGCGGCAGGAGTAGCAGAGGCACCAGCAGCAGCGCCGCCGGGATCCGGGCCATGCCCGACTCCAACGGCACCCAGCGCGCTCGCAGGCAGAGTTGTGCGCGGAGTCTGCGGCGGCCGCATTACCCCCGCGAGCCGGTGCAGTGGTCCCGGCCGAAGGCAACACGTCTCCCCCCGGCGCCCGCAGGCGCATGGACCCGGCCGCACGCTCCCCCGCACCTGAGGGTGCAGTGGACCCGACCGCTCCGCTCGTTCGCTCCCTCCCCTGCGCAGCGCACGTCTTGGTTCGGGCCGGGCATAAAAGGCTTCGCGGCCCAGGGCTCACTTGGCGCTGAGAACGCGGGTCCACGCGTGTGATCGTCCGTGCGTCTAGCCCTTGCCCACGCAGGTATAGACACACAGAGTGCACCTGGCGGGAGGACCCCCTTCAAGCTGCTTTGGCCGGATCCTGATCTCAGTGCTGGCCGCCTTTGTTTTCCATCCGCTGTAGTGGCCTCCTTTGTCCTTGCGGGGGAAACCGAGGCCACAGCCTTGCAGTGCAGGCCCGATCGCCCTGTTCCCCGCCCCCTGCTCGAGGGGGCCTCACTGTCTCCTTCTGGACTTGGGGCTTGCGACACCGCGCTCCGGCCGACTCGCTCGTGGGGTGCTAGTGGCAGTGGCTGGGTCACTCGTGCTCTGGTCAGGAGGGCGGGCCTCCGGCAGCCTCTGGGCTTTGCAGACCCGGTACACGGGAGGGTGAGGGTTGGTGCTGTCGCCTCCGCCGTGCTGACTCAGTCACAGGGCCCAGCACGCAGCGCGACCTTGGGGTGGGAGGACAAAGGGTCTTCCCGGGCGCACTGACCGGACAGGGTTCTCAGCTTTCAGTCATGGCCTCCGGTAACGCGCGCATCGGAAAGCCAGCCCCTGACTTCAAGGCCACAGCAGTGGTTGATGGCGCCTTCAAAGAGGTGAAGCTGTCGGACTACAAAGGTGAGCGCAGCCCGGAGCGGACCCAGGTAGAAGCAGAAGCGGGGCCGTGCATGAGAGAGGCTGGGCCCTAACTCCTCTTGGTCCCTCCTCCCCAGGGAAGTACGTGGTCCTCTTTTTCTACCCTCTGGACTTCACTTTTGTGTGCCCCACGGAGATCATCGCGTTCAGCAACCGTGCCGAGGACTTCCGCAAGCTGGGCTGCGAAGTGCTGGGCGTCTCGGTGGACTCTCAGTTCACCCACCTGGCTTGGTATGAGCAGGGGCCAGAGAAGGAGGTTGCAGCTAAGCTCACACCCTCGGGTCCGAGCTGTGTGGCTTCGTGACCATTGCTCAATCTCTGGAACCTGCGTTTCCCCATCTTGAACATAATGGAAATATTGCCGCCCAAGTTTTTAAGGATGGCAGTAATTATTAGCATTTGGCAGCTAGTTGAGCTAGTTGTTTGGCACATAGAGTTGCAGATGCAACTCAGATGCAACTTTATCTGCTCTATCTACTAGTTCCCAGGAGGGAGGCTGTGCTGCCCTATTTCATAAAGATGGAAACTCCGGTTCACCTAAGTGAAGAGCTGTACCCCATGACGCAGCTAGAGGAGGACCGAGACTCTTAACACGGGCTCTCTGCTGGGTGATGCTGCAAGTTACAAGCACATGTGAAGCCACTTAGCTGGAGCGTTGCCTCTCAAGCTTAGTCTTCCCAGCTGTGGGAAGTCCTTGTACCCAACCCAGGGTGGGGTGGGTGAGGCTCCCAGCAGCCTACTTTAAAGCCCCTTATCTTTGGCCTCCAGTGCTTATCACATTGGGCCCACAGGGTGAGGACCCGGCTGTACCAGGCATCCTGAGGCCCCAATTCTATCTCCTCTACTCCCAGGATCAACACCCCCCGGAAGGAAGGAGGCTTGGGCCCCCTGAACATCCCCCTGCTTGCTGACGTGACCAGACGCTTGTCTGAGGATTACGGCGTGCTAAAAACAGATGAAGGCATTGCCTACAGGTACTGTGGGACCCTCAGCCCGGCTCATGGAGACCCCCCATTCCTGTGGAGCTGGAACCACTCCTGTACAATGTCTTCTTTGCCCCCAGCCCTGTGGCTAGCAGCGGGTGGTTGGTAGTCCCTTCCTTGTCTCTGGCATTGGGAGCTCCCAGCTCCTTACTGGGAACCCTGATGTCTTCAGGGGCCTATTTATCATCGATGGCAAGGGTGTCCTTCGCCAGATCACTGTTAATGATTTGCCTGTGGGACGCTCCGTGGATGAGGCTCTGCGGCTGGTCCAGGCCTTCCAGTACACAGACGAGCATGGAGAAGGTGAGCAGAAACACACATGACACATGGGTACATACTCAGTGCCTCTGTCACTCATGCAAACATTCACTGCCTGTCCTCTGACCTGTCTAGATGGGTGTTAGGACCCCAAAGAAGATTCAGCTCAGGGGTTTGTCTGCAGGAAGTTTCTAGTGTGGTAGGAGACAAATACCCCTGACATTCAACCAAGGTGGACAAAGGAGCTGGGCTCAGTGGCTCACGCCTGTAATGCCAGCACTTTGGGAGGCTGTGACAGGTGGATCACCTGAGGTTAGGAGTTCGAGACCAGCCTGACCAACATGGTGAAACCCCTTCTCTACTAAAAGCACAAAAAAATTAGCTGGGCATGGTGGCATGTGCGTGTAATCCCAGCTACTTGAGAGACTGAGGCAGGAGTTCTCTTGAATCTGGGAGGCGGAAGTTACAGTGAGCCGAGATCGTACCATTGTACTCCAGCTTGGGCAACAATTAGCCTGGCTTGTGAAGCATACCTATAGTCCCAGCTACTCAGGAGGCTGAGGCCGGAGGATCGCTTGAGCCTGGGAGGTCGAGGCTGCAGTGAGCTATGATCGCACCACTGCACTCCAGCCTGGGTGACACAGCAAGACCTTGTCTCAAAAAACAAACAGGCCGGGCACAGTGGCTCACGCCTGTAATCCCAGCAGCATTTTGGGAGGCCAAGGCGGGCGGATCACAAGGTCAGGAGTTTGAGACCAGCCTGGTCAACATAGTGAAACCCCGTCTCTACTAAAAATACAAAAAAATTAACTGGGCATGGTGGTGGGTGCCTGTAATCCCAGCTACTTGGGAGGCTGATGCAGGAGGATTGCTTGAACCCAGGAGGGGGTTGCGGTGAGCCGAGATCGCACCACTGCACTCCAGCCCAGGCCCAGTGTGAGACTCCATGTCAAAAACAAAACAAAACAAAACAAAACAACAATAACAAAACCTGTAGGGGTAGGGCAGAGGGACAAAGATGGGGTTAAAGGGGCCGAAAAGACAGGAATATGCTGTCTCATGCCTGTAGTTCCACCTACTCTGGAGAGTGAGGCAGAAGATTGCTTAAGCCTAGGAGTTTGAGTCCAGCCTAGGCAACATAGGAATAACCCATCTCTTAAAAAAGAAAAGAAAAAGAAAAAAGAGGCCAGATGTCATGGCTAACACCTGTAATCCCAGCACTTTGGGAGGCCTAGGAGGGTGGATCACCTGAGGTTGGGAGTTCGAGACCAGCTTGACCAACATGGAGAAACCCCGTCTCTACTAAAAATACAAAATTAGCCGGGCGTGGTGGTACATGCCTGTAATCCCAGCTACTTGGGAGGCTGAGGCAGGAGAGTCACTTGAAGCTGAGAGGCAGAAGTTGCAGTGAGCCGAGATCGTGCCATTGTACACCAGCCTGGGCAAGAAGAGTGAAGTGAAACTCCGTCTCAAAAAAAAAAAAAAAAGAAAAAGGAGAGGTGGGTGGCAAAAAGAAATTTAAGAATTAAGGGTAGGAAACACACCAACTAAAAAATGCTGAACTTAGCTAGGCGCAGTGGCCCACGCCTGTAATCCTAGTACTTTGGGAGGCCAAGGGGGGTGGATCACCTGAGGTCAGGAGTTTGAGATCAGCCTGACCAATATGGTGAAACCCTGTCTCTACTAAAAGTACCAAAAAATTAGCAGGGCGTGGTGGCGGGCACTTGCAGTCCCAGCTACTCAGGAGGCTGAGGCAGAAGAATCGCTTGAACCCAGGAGGCGGAGGTTGCAGTGAGCCGAGATCACACCACTGCACTTCAGCCTGGGCGACAGAACAGGACTCTGTCTCAAAAGAAAAAGAAAAGAAAAAGAGAAAATACTGAACTTGGCTGGGCATGGTGGCTCACACCTGTAATCCTAGCACTTGGGGAGGCCAAGATGGGCAGATGACTTGAGGTCAGGAGTTCAAAACAAGCGTGGCTAACATGGTCTCTACCAAAACTATAAAAATTAGCCAGGCATGGTGGTGCACCCCTGTAATTCCAGCCACTTGGGAGTCTGGGGCACAAGAATCGCTTGAACCCAGGAGGCAGAGGTTGCATGAGCTGAGATCATGCCACTGTACTTCAGCCTGGGCAACAGAGCAAGACTCTGTCTCAAAAAAAAAAAAAAAAAAAGAAAAAAAAAACAAAACTGGGCTTGGGGGGCTTTTTTTTTTTTTTTTTTTTTTTTTTTTTTTTTTTGAGACAGAGTCTTGCTCTGTTGCCCAGGCTAGAGTGCAGTGACACCACCTCAGTTCACTGCAAGCTCCGTCTCCCGGGTTCACGCCATTGTCCTGCCTCAGCCTCCTGAGTAGCTGGGACTACAGGCACCCGCCGCCACGCCCGGCTAATTTTTTTTTGGTATTTTTAGTAGAGACAGGGTTTCACTGTGTTAGCCAGGATGGTCTCGGTCTCCTGACCTCGTGATCCGCCCGCCTTGGCCTCCCAAAGTGCTGGGATTACAGGCATGAGCCACAGCGCCCGGCTGGAGGGCTTCTCTTAATATCCACATTCCTGGGCCTGAACCACTTACAGCATTTTCTTCTGCAACACAGGCCCTTGTTTGCTTCACCTTGAACCTGGGGCTGTAGCTTTCATGTGCATCCTTGTGTCTTCCCACAGTTTGTCCCGCTGGCTGGAAGCCTGGCAGTGACACGATTAAGCCCAACGTGGATGACAGCAAGGAATATTTCTCCAAACACAATTAGGCTAGCCAACGGATAGTAAGCTTGTGCCCCTACCTAGGTGCCTGTGCTGGGTGTCCACCTGTGCCCCCACCTGGGTGCCCTGTGCTGACCCAGGAAAGGCCAGACCTGCCCCTCCAAACCCTACAGTCTGGGACCCT